TAGACATTTAATGCTGTACAAGCAAGTGTTCGTATTTACAAAAGGATATTATTACCAAGTGCTAAGCACCAAACGCTTATAAGCAAGTGTCGAAACACTAAATGTTTTAGCGTGAGTGCAATGCACTGTATGCTCAAGGAGCAAGTGTCATAACACGAGGATGCTTAGAAAGCGTGTGTGCAAAGCACTGGTGCTCAAGGAGCAAGCGTCGGAACACTAAAGCTTTGTTCGCAAGTGCAAGGTACTTATTGCGAGGCAAGCAAAATAAGAAGAAAATAAAAACGAATGAACTCCACACAAGTTCGAAAATCGTGGGTAGGTCGGGTCCCACGGATTGGTGGGGAGGGTGTAACGGGGTTACACGAAGGTGTGTATTTTACATACACACCTGCCACACCAATATGGTGTGGCTATACCTTGGGTACAAAAGTAGGCTCAATGTAACTGTACCTAAGGTACGAAGGGTCGCATCGTACGTGGTTACTATACTTATTTAAGTATAGTAACTCATGTTTGCATAAATAATAATTGGCTATAGAGCTAGTATATAGTGACTAGCACTAAGTATAGAGAAGATGCTTCTATACTTGGTGGTAGAAGACAAATATGAATCAGTTTTAAATCTGCTTTGTATGCATCACTGCTTGAGCGTTCTCTTCCTTGAAAGACAGGAAGTTGTATCTTTGATACTAGTCTCTTTGAGACCCAGTTGTGACAACCGATAGGCACAAGCTTTCAAGCTAGCCTAGGAAGGGTTAAGATCCCTAAGACATATATTCTCTTGGAGCTTGTCTTCCTCTGCACGTAGTGCATAAGTAGCTTGGCTACAGTAGCTCGGCTACAAACGCCTTGATTGAGTTTATGACAAACCAGCTTCGATTCTCTCGCTCGCTAAGTGGTTTCGTGCATCCATACCCAGTGCATGTCTGAAATATATACTATTAGTTACAAACTGTATTCTACGGCACTGTAGTCCCAGATTGAAAAGTCGTTTGTCTGGTTCTACATGAACTTAACCTTGACACTATGAAAAGTGGCGTGTATCAAAACGATGGTTCCAATCGGAAAATACACAAAATGTACAATTACGAATTGTGAATTTTACAAATTGGTCTAATATATCGTCGAGCTATTTCTAAAGTAACGCTATCGTACAAAAATAAAATATGATGAGGATCTTCACACCATCGACTACCATTAATTACAACTTTGTTGTGGGCGTGTACGCCTTCTTTACAGCGCTCTGTGCTATGCTGTCAGTGCTTCATTTCTACACGTCGCAGCTGGAGGGATTTTATATCGTCCTGATGCCGTTTGTGCCGTGCTTCTTTTGGAGCCTCGTTGTACGTCACCGCTGGCTACAACAGCCAAAGAGCGTAGAAGAGAACGCGGACGAGCTCAAGAAGATAAAGTAGTCAGCTGAGTGGTCAATGTTATCCAGACTAGGTATTGTCGGTAGATCACTGTAAATCAAGTGAGAATCAAGGCATATCAGTTATATAGAAATTTTGTTGGCACCCAAGGAGACTGTCGACAAGCTGATACTGTAACCTCCTTTCGTAGCTGATAGCAAACTTGACTAATCCTCTATATGAAAGGTATCAACATGCGACGCAGACCCCCTGCTGTCGGGATACCGCCTTGACTCTACATGCCCTCCAATAGAAGACTAGCTCGAAGCATTGCTCGTGTGCACGTTGTAACACTGGAAGTAAGGCTAGAAAAGCTCGCTGCTGTTGCATGTGACCTATCTGGTGTCGTCATGTGCTTGTGCCGTTTCCTTGGTTTGAGAATTACCTTAACGAGGGTAGTAAGCTCAGCCAGCCGTGCATGAATAAAAAAGCAGTCAGTTTGCGATAAGTATCTCAAACGCAAGATAGTACGGCTTGCCTGGGTCTGCAAGTAGCAGCCGCGTTTTCTCCACTGTTGCAACAAAAAGGACCATACCGTCGAAGTATCGTCGAACATGCAAAAGCAACACGAACAAACTTGTATTGGGTATACAGAAGCATTATAATTAACTCAAAATGGTGTTCAAGAGTAAGTGTGTACGTCACCAATAGAGTATCTCTTTTTCTCAGTATAAACAAGTACACCCTTCAACAGACGCACTGCATGGCCGAGAGTACAATGTTGTTACTTAGCGAACTCATACAAAACCGCGCTTAACAAGTGTCATACTCGCTTGCTTACAAACAACCGCAAGCCTGTGACGACAAACCAGTAGTAACGATGCAGGTGACAATGCTCCGTGATTGAGCGTGAAATTTTTCGCTCACGTCATGCGACTTTGTTTCAATCATTCTCTACTCAGCGGGTTGTTAAAGCCTCACGTCTTCATGGGGCAGACGCTGAGCAGGCACGGTAGCAAAATGAAATTTGTCATTGATCATTGTCCCTGATCAAGACGTCGCACCTTGGTCCATGTTCGTAACTTGGTTCTTGTCACAGAATAGCTGAATAGAAAAATGCCACCGGGATCCTATTAGGATCGCAATGGCCAGTGTCTACAATGACGTTCGTGTGACTCACTGCCTTAAACTTCTCAATGTGATTATTAGTCAGCCAAAATGTTTCCACAACAGCAACTCGTGCGGTGAAACAGCAATGGCATGAGGATTCGCACCACTACTATCTATACTGGTGTGTTCATGATCGACATCACGACAACGAGGCGCGTTAAACTCGTCAAAATCACATACGTACGTACCACTTGTCACTAACAACAAAAATCACATAGACGCAAAAAAACGGGTGCCGCCCGATGCTCAAACGCATTTTGCATGACAATGTCGTGGAAGGCACATTTCCTCGGAAGATACGTCGGCCGCCACATTGTCATGCAGGAACAGTTTGCGCGAAATTAAAGGGTATTCCGCAAACTGTTCCTGCATGACGATGCACCGACACCGTCGCAATTATCCATACTTGGCAAAGAAGAGAAGGAAACAGTATGCGCTGTCGATGCACTTTGCGACCGCTAGTAAGAAAGACAACTGATACCGTAGCATATCTCCTTCCTTTACAATGCACTTGGTGGTGATGAAATGAGACCTACACATTAACTCGCCGTTGAAGTACGACTTAAATGAATGATTGGTGGTGATGAAATGCAGACCCACACATAACCCGTTGAAGCACATTACAATGAATGCACTTGGTGGTGATGCAAATGCAGATCCACACATATTTTTTCTACGCCGTTAAAGCGACAACTTGGCTATTTTCGCAAATGCTCCGTTGATGTAGGCTCCAACCCGCTACGTCGTCCTTTAGTACCTGCACTGCATCACAATGGCTACCTTGCGCGAGCCGCGTTCCCTTTGTGATTACGCTCTCAATATGCTGGAAATACTCGTCTGATCCATGACGCCATCGGTCAAAAACAACAACATCAGCGTGCGCAGCTCGAAAGAGATGAAGATTTCATTGACGTTGTATCGACGACACGGTATATTGATGCACACATACCAAGCAAGGACGGTCTGAAAATTATTGAGAAGCCACCACAGCGCCATTTACTACATGTCCTTAGTCACTATAATTAGCGCAACCAATTCTGCATGCCCTAATGCTGCGAGGTCTTGGAACGAATATAGCTCAGCACACCTTGGTGTCGTTAGGAACCAGCTTCCATAATATTTTCAGATTGGAAACGCCATACATAGCAGATCTAGCCCAGCCATGCACGACAAAACGATTTCTGAAAGGTACGCACTATTACAACCAGCATCTTATTGCGTTTTGGCGGACCACTTTCTTACGGCTTCTACTTTCCTTGACCCTTAGGCCATCTACGCCGCATAAGCACCTGCAGTTGGTCCAGGAGAAAGATCAAAAGACCAGTCTAAAGCTCACGCGTAAAACGATTATTCGCGACTTTGCTTCCAGCTTCGTGGACACCATGTCAAAAGCTGTCGTCAATGCGATTGCACACTCGCATCTGTGATATTGACGACACTTGGCTGAACCAGCCGATAGGAGAGACAGCAACAATGAAGATGACACAAAGTAGATTCAAATGAACGACAATCGATGTAATTTACATCGGTAGACCGGTTCATTTTTGTCTTGTTGCTTATCATATTATCGCTTAGCACGCGTAGCTTTGTTACCATACATGTCTGCAATCACGGCAAACTGATCGGACAATCAACGATCTGTGTATCTCGTGTTAAGGATAATCAATTTCTCTGATAAAGATATGCGAAAAGTAGTAGTAATCTATCGATGCAGGAGCAAGTTGGTGTCAGCCGTGTCCAAGAGTAGAGATAAACACGCATTTGTTAATCAATAGCTTGGAAGGCAAGTAAGTAAATTGGTTAACATTTGGGGTCGTGCTAATAATATCTATTAACAAATTACGTTACACTTTTGTTATAATTCATATATGGTGGGACCTATTCATCAATCGTCGCCTATTAGTTTTAGGTACAAATCATGTATATACTCGCGTCAAGTTGGCAGTTAATTTGGGCTCATTTTATAAGTCTCTTCCGTACCCCCCAACCCTGTTAGTGGAGCCATTATTTGATTGTTTTGGCGGCAGTCAACCTGTCAAATATAATACAATTCAATCCGTTTTAGAGTAAAGAACCCATTGAGATAATCGCGTGAGAAAGAGCCAGTCATGGTCAGAATAAGCTTGATTGTACTAAGTTTGGATTCGATTATATCCGATTTAAACCACTATTTGTTGGTCCTTGGACGTGTATTTGTTACATATAACGCCAGTTTAGTCGCTATTTTAGCTGATTAATACTTTGACTCACGTTGCATTGGTCGAAGACGTGGTGGGGGGGGGTAGAAGAAACTCCATTCATAATAGTAATAACCGCCTGAGGCAAAAGGCGTTTGGTGATACTTTTCCTCCATTTCCTCCTCCTCTTTCTACTTTGGAGTCGAAAGTGATTGCACCTTTTCATTTTCTTTTTCATCATACGCTTTACTAGCGTATTAAAAGTCACTAGGTTGAAGCATCATACAAGAAGAAGATTAGAATGGAAAAAGGCGTTGGGTTATGGCTTCGTGACGTGGAAACGGATGAATGGCATCGTGCGACGGTTGTCAAACTTAGTGAACCATTAGATAATTCAGATGAACGTCATGTGACAATGCGTATGATGGAAGGACCGCATGCAAGGACAGATAAGATACTGCAGATTAATGTAAAGGCACTAGAGGAAGAAGAAGTGGACGGTGTGTTACTTGCTAATAGTAGTGATATGGTATGTACACGAGTGATGGTCATGCTTGATTCTAGATGGCTAGATGTGGATTGGATGACTGAACACTTGATTGACTTATGTGTGTGTGTTCTATTGTCTATTGTCTAATGTTATTGTTACTTGATTACTTACTAGGATGTTGTGGAAGATTTGATTCAATTACCTCATCTTCATGAGCCAGGGATTTGTCACACCTTAAGTGAACGTTTCAAGATTAATGAGATTTATACACTTACGGGCGAAATTCTTCTTGCTATTAATCCTTTTCAGAATCTAGGTATCTACACGGACAAGATTATACGTAAATATGCCCGCAATGGAGATAAGCGTGCGCTTGGACAAGAAGTACCTGACATGCCACCACACGTCTATAGCATTGCTGATAAATCCTATCGCTCACTGATGAATCCAATTGGACATAGTGCGCATGGAGGCGCTACGAACCAGTCGATTTTGGTCAGTGGTGAAAGTGGTGCTGGTAAGACGGAAACTACCAAGTTTGTGATGCACTATCTGGCAACCATCTCGGAGCATAAAAATACATTTGCAGACAGAAACGTCATGCAGCAGGTTTTGTCGTCGAATCCGATTTTGGAATCATTTGGTAATGCACGAACGATTCGCAATGACAACAGTAGTCGTTTTGGAAAATTTATCAAGATGGAATTTTCGGCAGAAGGAAATCTTATTGGCGCTTCGATCCAGACGTATTTGTTGGAGAAAGTGCGGCTTTCTTACCAGGGCGAGTCGGAGCGTAATTATCACATATTTTATGAGATTATTGCTGGTGCAACCGCGGAGGAAAAGAAGCGCTGGAACCTAAAGACACCGACCAAGTACCATTACTTGAACCAGAGCACGTGTGTTAAGCGAAAGGATGGTGTCAATGACGCAGAACAGTTTGGTTTTTTAAAAACCGCTATGCAGACAATGGGCTTTGATGACGATGATATGGAGAGCATTTTCGTCACCATATCGGTTTTGCTGCACATTGGAAACCTAGAGTTTGACGAAACACACCAGGCTTCTGGTACTGAGGGATCAGAGATTTCTAGCATATGCGAAGATTCGATGAAGGTGGTACTCGACTACTTGGAAGTCGACAAACAGGGTTTGGAGCAGGCTATTTGCAACCGCAATATTCAGACAAAGGACGAGCACTACTCTATTGGTTTGCTACCGGAAGCCTCTGAGAATGCTCGTGACGCTTTAGCTCGGTTCCTGTACGGTAAGCTTTTCGACTGGCTTGTCAGCCGTATTAACGAAATCGTTGAAAACGAGGACCGAGATGCCCCGTTTATCGGTTTATTGGATATCTTTGGTTTTGAGGATTTGGAGCACAATTCGTTCGAGCAATTATGTATCAATTACGCCAACGAGACTCTGCAGCAGCATTTTAACCTTACTGTGTTGCGCATGGAGCAGGAGACGTATGAGAAGGAGGAAATTCAGTGGAGCTTTATTAACTTTCCGGATAATGGTCCATGCATTGATTTGATTCAGAGCAAGCCTTACGGCATTCTTTCGGCTCTTGATGAAGAGTGCATCGTTCCGCAAGGTAATGACCAGAACTTTTCACGAAAGATGTACCGCCAACACGAGCAAAATCCGCACTTTAGCGCGAGCAAGACCGAGATGGCCAACCATCTCTTTGTCGTGCACCATTACGCTGGTGCAGTCACGTATGATACATTTGGATTTTGTGAAAAGAACAAGGACATTTTGTACCCTGAGATAACTGCTATAATCAAGAGATCGTCGAAGCCATTTGTGCGTGGACTTTTGCAGGTTTCAGTTGAGAAGAAGCCACCTATCAAAAAGTCAAAGGGTCGGTCGTCGAGTGTTGCTGCCCGCGTAAGCTTGGGTTTGCAGTTTCGAAATCAGCTGAAAGACCTGCTGGAGACGATTAATGTCACTGATTGCCACTATGTGCGGTGTATAAAGCCGAACGATAAGGCAAAGGCCAATTTGCTGATGCCGAAGCGTGTATGCGACCAACTGAAGGCTGGTGGTGTTTTGGAAGCTGTGCGTGTCAACCGCGCCGGCTACCCTGTTCGTATCGCCCACTTGCAGTTTATTAAGCGTTACCGTCCGTTAGCGAACGGCAAATATTTGCAGCGCATTCCTGCTGAAGCAGCTGAAGAGGACTACGATTGTACTGCACGCATGAACGCTGCAAGTCTGTTGGTGGAGTTTTTGCTGAAAGCACATGCTGAGCGGTATCCAGAGCTGGCACGTGTGGCGTCGGACAACCAGCAGGAAGCGACTGTGTCTGGCATCCAAGTTGGGCTTACTCGCGTTTTCTTTCGTCGCTCTGCCATTCAGTTTGTAGAGGCACAGTTAGCCAAGCGCTACGGTGAATTTGTGGTACTTATCCAGGCTGCGGTCCGCGGCTTGATCGCTCGTCGCCATTACGCTCGAATGCAGGTGTCGGCTGTTGTATTGCAGAAGGTGATTCGTGGTTTTCACACGCGTTGCCGATTCTACGTACTACGCGAACGCCACCGCGAGAAACAGGCTGAGCTATTGCGTCAGAAGCAGCATGCAGAGAAAACGCAGCGCGAAGAAGAGCGGCGTGCTGCTGATGAGAAACAGCGTCTGATGGATGATAAGCGCAAGACTGCTGAGCTGGAGGAGCAAAATCGTCTTACTGCTCAGTCAGCGTCATCTGACCCAGTATCGGATGATTCATCGGATGGTGACCGTAGTTCATCCGTCAAGCTCCCCGGGTATTTAAGAGGCTCAAACGAGGAGCGCGGTAACCGTGCTGTATCTCGTTTTCGCTTCACTAAGGATTATGGTGATGACGACTACTCCGTGCCAAACACCTCCCGTCAGGTCGCAATGGATCCAGGTGACACTGTGCTGCACGTGGCTGCCAATTGCTGCAACGAACAAGATGTGTTGAAACTGCTTCAGAATGGCTCGGACATCAACGCTCGCAATCGTCGAGGCCGCACTCCGCTACACACTGCGTCCCTTTATCAGAACGTTGAGGTTGTAGGTATTCTTCTGGACTGGGGTGCTGATATTCTTGTTCAAGACGACGATGGCAATACGCCACTGCATTTGACCAAGGATCCTCGCATTGCTCGAATGCTGTTGGAAGCTGGTTGCACGCCCAATATTGTCAACGCTGACGGCCGAACTGCCCTGATTAACGCTGTCGATCGCGGTGATTCGAAGACAGTAAAATTGCTGCTGCACTTTAAGGCTGACGTGTTATTCCGAGAGTTGAAGCATCATCAGACAGCGCTACACTTGGCTGTTCGTAAGGGTCAGTACCAAATCGTGATGGAGCTGTGCAAGTCCGACGATATTCAAGATTTGATTCTTTTGACCGATCGCAACGAGAACAATGCGCTCCATTTTGCCGTGTCTCGCGATCGCAAGAATGGATACCGTCTTGTAGATTACTTGATCAAACACGGCGGTGAAGTTGATAAGGTGAATGCACGATTTCAGAGTCCATTGGTGGTTCACATTATGACAACACGCCAAACCGATCCGGCGATTACGGAACTTTTTCTCGCCCGAGGAGCCGACCCAAACATTCAGCTGGCCGATGGATCGACGCTGCTGCACGTTGCCGTGGAGCGTGAACTGATTGATATTGGCTGTTCATTGATAAGTCACGGTGCATCGCTGAATGCGCCTGATGCGAAGGGCCGAATGGTCATTGAGGTGGCGAACAAAAAGTTTTTGAAGAAACTATTTGGCGCGATTACACAGCCTCCTACGTGGATTGACGAGAAGGAGCGTCGATCGTGTATGCTATGTGGATCAAACTTTAAATTTGGCAACCGACGCCACCACTGCCGACACTGTGGACGGGTGTGCTGCTCTGATTGTTCAGCTTTTACGGTGGAGATGCATCGGTTTCCAAAGGAATTTCCTGGACGCATAACTACTGGCGGTAAACAGGTGAAGGATCCACAGCGCGTATGCCGTACGTGCCATGCCGTATTTAAAATGCGGACAGCTCAGAAGGAGTCCAAGTCGGGCTTTATGGCACGCGTACTTGGGTACGAGTGGGACGAGGTAACTGCTACCAATTGAGCATTATCTTGAATAGGGGAGCAGTAGCAAGAAGAAAGGAAGTCCATGACGTTGTCATTATGTGCAAATGATGAACGAGCGTATCATCAATAGGGGATCGCACGCATGTGTATGTTTTCTTCCATTACTATCTATCGAGCTGTAATAATTGCGAAAGAAATATACTATTCGCTGACTCCTTGCTGTCAAATTCTAACTATTGACTTAAATTTGTGGGTGAAATGACAAATGAACTACTGACATTATTACTATTTTGCAAAATATTAATTGCAGGTCAAGATGTAATATTTTACAGTCATACTATTTTCAGCTGACGCGTCTTTTCAAGATTCGAACGATGTGGTCCACATTGCACATCATGTAGCCACATACTCTTGATAAGGATGCAACGAATTGGACGGCGAGTAGCTCAGGCCGCGTTGGCTGCCAGAGGTTGTGGACATGCAGTAGTAAATATTCGACCACGCTTCATATCCCAGCGTTTCCATGTGTTTGACTCTCGCATACTCAGCTATTCAGTTAGTACGAGAGAGGTGAGTTTTCTGCTTTCTCAGGTGCCAATCAAAATGTAACTCAACTCTCTTTTGAATTCATTCCAGGCGTTTGAAGCCTATGAAAAGGCTAAGCAGCTATTGGATAGTGACGACTTAGAAGAAGCTATGGGTCTGCTAGGGGTTGCAGCACATGGTAACATCGCAGATGCCCAATATCTATTGGGCTCATTACTGCTGAACGAAGAGGTGGAAGAAGACGAGGGAGAAGAGGACAACGAGGATCAACGCAAGAACAAAGAGCTAATTCGTGATGCCGAAACCAATCGACAACGCTGTGGACGTCCGGATGATTCCACAAACATTAAGGAGATTCGGAAGAGTGCCCGTGCCGCTTACAAACAATATCTGATGGAGCAGAAGCGCAAAACACGAGCCAAGAGGGCGAAATCGGCTGGTGATGCTGCCTCGGTGGTACAGCGTGCTACAAAAGGTGAGCTTGACCGAGCTTTTGGTAGAACTATGGAGCTTCTATTGGACCCCAAGTCGAAGCTGGAGCCGCTGCTTGAGATCAGTGACGGTTCGGGCCACATGGATGCTGCTCAGATGCAGCTGGATGCGGTGAAGGCGGTGGAGTGGATCCGTCGCGCAGCTGATAATTGTAATCGTGATGCTCACGTTCAGCTTGGCAACCTGTGTCTAAGTCATAGCCCACCCATGGCCATGGAGGCCAGCTCCTGGTATACAAACGTGACAAAGGACGAGAACCCACACCCTGATGCGCTATACAACCTTGGGGTGATGCTGTTTGACGGCGTTCATCATGCGGAGCCACCTTTTCCAGAAAACAAGAGTGCATCCATTCCATTCTTCGTTCGTGCAGCAGAAGTAGGTGATGTCTCGGCACAGTTTTTCATGGGAACATTGCTGCATCAGGGTGACAAGGACCTGGGTATCGAGCCAAACTTTACAAGTGGATTCATGCTGATTGAAATGGCAGCCAGCAAAGGTCACCCGAGTGCTTTGTTCTACTTGGCGCAGTTGTATCGCTCGGGTGATGAGGACAACGGTTTTGCTGCAAATCATGCCAAGTTCCTTGAGCATCTGGACAAGGCTATGAAGGCCGGAGACGCTGATGCGTACTTCTGCATGGCAGATATTTACTTTCACGGCAGCGACGGGTTTAACCAAGACTGTGAACAGGCTCGTAGATTCTATATGGCTGCGGCTGAGCAAGGACATGCAGACGCATATTGCTGTCTCGGTGCTTTATATTACAATGGCATTGGTGTAAAGCAGGACTACAAGCAGGCTTTCTTGTACTATCAGGAGGCGGCTGACAGAGACTCAATGATGGCTTGGAAGAACCTTGCTGAAATGTACACGGTTGGTCGTGGTGTACCGCGCAATGAGGCGACTGCCAATGCCATCATTAAGATGCTCAAAAAGGTTGAGGCGGATGAGACCACTCAATAGTGTCGTTCTGCAAACAATTGAGCAACAATTTTCTACAACTTTTTGGTGCAAGGTTGCATCCTTTAAATTTGTGGCAACTTGATGAGCCAGTCAGACTGTCTGGTTGAAGGCCAGATTATCACGTCTAAACTTGAACCGACAGTGCTGCGTCAGCTTCAGGAGCGACCACAACAATGCACAGCGCTGCTGCTTTGCGTGCTGAGCTACAACATTCTGTCTTCATGGTCACCAGTCTCATTGTTTAAGTTTGCAACTATGCTCCCAGAACTTTTCACCCTCCAACCAATGAAAACTTACCATGAAATGCGAAAACGTGCTGCTCGACTCAACTACATTCGGCGCCAACGTAGCCAGTCTTGTACGTATGCCTCAATACCTTACGCGTACAACATTGCCCTTGCAACGACGCAAAGCAGCACACGGCTTACTTTTTTTTAATCACATTAGTGTACTCATGCCATTTGATGTCTAAGGATCGTGCGGCGGAGAAGGTTGTGCAGGGCCGGGGAAGAGGACTTCCGCCAGAATGGGGTAGTGATCCGATGGGTAACGGCCGTTGCGACTTTCAGTGATAACTTCCGTCGTCAGCACTGTCATCTGTGGACGAAACAAAATCCAATCAATATGATTGGCAGCACGAACAGCATTCTTTTCTTCGTCATTCTTAACACCAGCCCAGCCATGGTACGTGTATGAAACATCCCCGATCTGCTTCACCGCTTCTGGCCAGGCTTCATGTAATCGAGGTCCGTCCTCTCGAGATGTAAAATAGTTGTACGTGCTTGTGTGGCGAAACTGGTTGAAATCGCCCATGAGAAAAAGCGGAGCATCTCCTGCAATTTGCTGCATTCGCTTCCATAGCAGTTTCGAGCTCTCCTCACGATGACTTTGAACCCACATGATTCAATTGCGTGTTGAAAACAAAAAGCTCCTGCTGCGTAGCTCGTAAACGAAACTTCCCCCATGTCACTATACGCACACATGCGGCATCCCAACCTTGAGTTCTTGGTGTGTCTGGTGTTTTCGAAAGCCAAAAGTCTCCATTGTCCAGAAGTTCCAGTACTTCTGCGTCGTAGAAAATCTGCTCAAACTCGCCATTCTCATCGTGCTCGACACCAAAACGTTTGTACGGGTACTTGAGCAAGCTCTAAAAGTACGTAAAAAAGCAAACTATCAGAACTGAGATCACCCACTCACTCAAAAATATCATCGTTACCTCACCTCCAGCTCATCTAGTTGTTTCTTAAGTCCCTCCTGAGTAGTCATAATGACTGGATGATAACGATCAATGATATCTGCCACATGATCCTTGCGATAAATCCAGCTATTAAATCCGTCTTCAATGCCGTCAAATCTCAAGTTAAACGTCATCATCTTAAGACTTAACGTTGAAATACTCAATGTCTCCTTCTGATTTGTATCAGATACCCGCAGTATCGGTTCTTGTCCATTATCTGACAAAGCAGCTACGGCCTCCGTTTGTTGGTCAACCGACATCAGATTGCTGCCCACTGGCACCCCATTTTGAAGGTTTTGAAACCCTGCAAAGAGCGTAAGCACTATGGCAATTCCTACTAGAATATATAAGCGATCTCTAGTAAACGTGCGAGGTCGTGGCATCTGTGAGTGGCGAGAGCATCGATTGCGTAATGCTCCAGTCTGTCCTACCTAGCCTATCATTATAGAAGAGTCTAAAGAGGTGAACACGGTGGAAAATGCTTGGCTAAAAAAGAAATACGTACTATAGTATCATTGGTCAAATATCGACTATTTAATGTGGATGATATGCCTATATATGATTGGATAAAAAGATCGATCGTGACAACAATACTGTTATACTTAATTCTATTATCCAAACGTTTTGAATCATGGCGGACGGTGTGGAGACATTACGCGCCATGGAGTCACGAGCTATACGCGAGTGTCAGCTAGAGACGTATACAAGTAATGTAGGATCAATGGCACTTCTTAGTGCGACTTTGCTGTGGCTAACGCTGCCACCTCTGTGGAGTGTCGTCAATGGCGAGTGGAGTGCTGCCATAAAGCCCAGTCTATTGGCCCTTGCAGGTGCTAATTGTTCTTGAATTTGTATGTGGAATCATGTTAATAAATGCTGATACTGGTATTACAGGCTATGGACTATTGGTATTATCGATATTACTAGTGCTTCGAGTAGCGGAAGTGCAGGGAAAGGAGCTGTTACTTCAATTTAAGTCCAAGGTTTGCGATTGTTATGAAGACGAGATGAAGAAGTTACTGTTGATTCTGATTGATTGAGTACGTGCTGATAGTATTTGAATAGAGTTAGCAGATCAGATCCTTACAATCCGCCGTTGGATCGAGCTGCGCAATGTACGCACTTTACTACGTTAAAGATCAAAGTGGAATAAGTTACTGACTTGCTTTTGTTTTGCTGTCACTGGCGTCTTTTATAGTGGAGGAAGTGATGAAACTTGATTCATTGCGTGGCCGGCTGCCATTACCGAAAAAGGCTTTGGTAGTTAATGGGCAGAAGGAGCAAGAGCGCTCATTTTTCGATCCAGCTCCTGTAAAAACCGTCGAAGACGGCAAGGCGTATCTTCGTCGTGTGCAAAAGGCACAAAAACAAAAAGAAGCGGAAGAATCGATGCATGCTGCTTCCGCGTACGGAATGGAAAACTCGTACCAGAGCGACGCTTTTGGCATTTACGGCAGTGTCTCCATGGCACCTCGTGTGTATCAGGCTTCAGGCTTTGATCCATATCTTCGTGATCTTAGTATTGGAGATGAGGCAGAGGACCCGCTGCGCACGTCGTCGCTTCCGCATATTGCGTGGCAGCAGCTGGAAGAGTGGGGGCTTGCCATGTTCATGCACCTGTACTGCCGTAATATTTGCCGCTTGCTTGCTTATCACGTAAAGGATGTCGTCGAGGCATTTTTGGAGAATGCTAACGCTCTTAACGAGTGTGGCGTTATGGCAGACGTTCTTTTGCGTCGAGTGCCGTCTCAAGCGCTATTGTGTCCACCAGGCCAGACAAACCAATTGACTAATGTGTCGCTGTCTGATATGCTGCACAACCTTGCGAAGAGTCCTTTGTTTTTCAGCAAAGAACGAGGTGTTTTCTTGTTCGAAGAGCACCAAAGTGTAAGCGTAAATTTAGTCTTTGTGTATACGGAGGTGATTTTACTGAGTTTGTTGTGTGTGTTTTTCTAGTTTGAAAAATATTTGAGCGTTGGCGATCCTAGCAGTGCGGACTATTCATCTTTAGAACGTCAACAGTATGTTTTGGAGCGGCTCGTTATGCTATCAAAAGACCGCAGCCTCGATCGGTTCCGATGGAACAAGGGTGCTGCATGGAAAGGAAAAGAGTGGACAGAGAACTTGCCAACAGACGCTGAGATTTTGATGAACACGTTTTGCTGTATGATGGACAATATGCTGCCTGCGGATAACGAGCGTGACCGGCCATTTTGGAAGTCATATTACTTTAGCAAGGGCCCTCACCGTCCATTCACACCGCGAGTACGCAGTCGTCTCTTTCTCGTCCAGACTGTAAAGCGGCAACCTCATTTTAAGGTGCTAGTGAAGGGTGCGGTGCGCGAGATTGTGCCGGTACGTTTTCATGATGTTTCTTTATTTTTCCCTGCTAATTGTATGATTGTTTTGTGGTGCTGTAGGGTGAGGAAAATTGCTTCCATGCCATTGTCGTGTATTTGTACGCTATCAAAAAGATGAAGGCGGTACGTGTTCTATGTCAAGTTGCTTGCATTGGCTTGTATGCCCATGCTACCGTTTAGTTCTATTTACTCACTTGCTATTATCTCTAGGGTTACCTGGAGAGCATTAACTTGCATCGTATTATCGAGCAAACTTTCGACGTTTCCAAGTAATACGCAGCAGGAAAATAAATGATGATGCAGCTTGATTGTATACTTCTGTTTCGACATTACACCAGCTTACAGCACATACACATTTTTTGTACAGTCTTTTTCGTGGGCTTTCAGATTTTCTCGGGTCTTGAACGTCTTTTGACGTGTCGCTGGGCAGTAAGAGCATGCATATGGACGTTCGTTTTGATGGCGTCGCTGCCAATGGCGCTTCAGCGTTTGCAAGTTCTTCAAGCTTCTACCTGTCGATTCAGCGTACTCGCATTTTTCCTCAGGGCAATGTTTGGGTCCTACAGGAAGTGGAATCTGCTCCCCCAGTTACTTCTGCCATTGGCACCTCTGGATGCTGCTTGCCATGAAAGGTGAGCTGATAGAAGTTGGCAAAGCGGTTGCTGCAGATGCAGCATTCAAACGGTTTGAAGCCATCTTGTAGCATTTTTACTGGAGCAGTTAGCGCGAGCTGATGACTGACAGCTGATTCAGTTTGAGCCGGCGTTGCAGCAGGGTCAATGGAAGTTTGTCCACGCAGCCGTAATATCTCAGCCCTTAATTGTTTGATCTGATCTCGCTGTGCTCGAATCGTATCTTGAAAATGTATGCTCTCATCTGACTGTCGCATGCTAACAGCGTGAGAGCTCTCTTCATTCTCCATCTGCCGACGAACTGTACTTACGTCCTCTTCAACTCTTTCTACTTCGTTGATAGCAGTTGTAGCTGAGCCAGATGATGCCAAAGAGGTGAGCGCAGCAGCACGGTGAGTGGTATGTGTTTTTAAGTGGGCCATTAACAATCTTTGCACACGAAAATGTTTTCCGCATTTCGAGCACACATACGGCGATGTCTGTAAGATTTGTACTTGAGCGGCATCGGCAGCATTTTCTGCGTGTATGCTGCTATCCAAACTTGCCGTGGATGATAGCTGTGGAGCGTGTGTAGTGCGATGAAACCGCATTGCAGCTCGTGACGAGTAACGTTTGCTACAGCCAGGAACGCCACAGACATAAGGTTTCTCGCCTGTGTGCACACGATTGTGTTCTTGCAACGTCGATGCTCGTGCAAATAATTTTTGGCAGATTGAACAACTTAACTTCTTTTCACCCGTATGCACAACCGTGTGATCTCTTAGATGAGCACTGTCCATGAACGACTTACCACATCCAGGATGCATGCACAAAAAATTGCGCATTCGCAGCGCACCTGGAAGCCTTTTGCGCTTCCTGGTCGGTGCTGCTGCGCTAGACTTTGCAATCACTACCGGGACTGCTGGTGATGGTGACGGAGGTGGTGGAATCATGAATGGACGTGTCATTGAAAACGGTAAAGTGGTCATGGAAGTACTCACCGTCATCGCAGTACCACCACAATTGACGCCAGTGCTCTCAGCTGTCACAGCATTGATTTGTCCCCCAAATCTACTACATGTACCTGTTAGCCCCATCTCCATTCTCCATGTAGTTTCAGGTATCATTGATGTAGCCGACGTAGCATCACTGTAGCCATTGCTGTAACTTTGCTCCTCCACCTCATTTCCAACAGCTTCCGTACTTGGTCTCCCCAATCCAGTAACCAAACGAGTAACCAAAACGCCATGAGGTGATGGTGGCAGTTGATGATGATGATGTGTAGTTGCTGTCAAGTATCGAGGCGTTAACGGGGACGCTGACCAATGAGGTAAAGACGCCGATCGAAACCCTGGAGCTTCTGAAGTAAATGATGATGATACAGATGTTACTTCACTTACAAGATTAATCGTGTTTGATGAAGGTGAATACGCTCTAATACTGTTCATTTCTACCATGGAAACATCAAGTGAATCAAAAGTATCAAGAGCTAGCAAGCAAGAAAGAAAAAAGGGGTAGAAAGGGAATGCCTCACCTTCATGAGGGAATGACGATAGTCCTGATTTTGCTAAGAGAGTGTGGTCATGGACACTAGAAGTTGGAAAGAGACTGATGGCACCTCGAGATGAGGAGGAGGAGGAAGACATTGAAGCCTGCAGCATTTGTAGCCACTTTATCGTACAGCTGCTTCTTCATTGGTTGGACGAAGAGTTTCACGCAAATGATTGGATACAATTGTTGCTACGACAAAACTTGGTTGGTTAAAATGAATCTATAAAGGCGCTGGTTGTTGTTAATACGGTCCTGACGACTGCAGTTAAAACTCGAGCTCCTTGAGACCCAACCACTTGGTCATATACAAGCATGAACGAGGTGAAATGACATTACCTTCTTGACATTGATCAAAGACCTGATACACAGAAAGAATGACACCATACCACAATGCAAAACCATGTCAGGAATAATGGGACAAAATTCCTATGGCTGTGCAAACTTTTGACGCACCGGACACACGCCACACGGGGTTTCCGACAAATAGTTGAAGGTTGTAATCTGTTGTGAAACCTTGTACTTGACCTCGTGAGATGTCTGCAAGAGCCAGGTAAAAAGCAGCGGTGAGATGAGACAGCATTGCTATGAGAGATTGGAATAACCGACAGGGGTTGCTACGTACACCAGGTGTAAGACGCACAGAGCGAACTTCTTCAACACGACCGTCGTACATGAGCGTTTGAATGATCGAGCGAATTTCTTCTGGACCCAATGCGACTTTGGAAATACCCGAGGCGTGCACCTTATCTGTGACTGCATTAAGCGTACTCATTCCCGAGGCCTTAATAACTTCGTACACAAAAGTACTGAGTGTATTAATAAATACGTGGTCAAACTCTTGCTCATTGTACCATGGACCACCAGTAATTTCCGTGGAAGGTACTATAGCAGACAACATGTAACAACAACAACCATCATAAATACTGTAATAACAGTATCCATCACACAGCATTGCAAATTTAGACTTTACCCAAGTCAAAAAGCATATATAGCTTCTTATTCTTGCTGCTTATGGACTTGACCGACTTGACGAGACGCCGTGTCTCCAATAATCGCAATGTCTTGGTCACAATTTGCTACACCACGAGACAGAATATCAACTTGCCATGAGCTTCCATCGGCATAATTAGCTGCCAACCAAATCCGTCAACATACCTGTGGAATATTAGTATGTGTCTTAATATCTCTTGTCCAAATACCTTTATTACCTGCACGCTCAATCTCCTGTAACACAAGGCGCTGTTCCAAGCTGAAAGTGTATCAGTCCAACAAATCCCTTACATTCTCAGCTTCTGTAGCTCTATAAATGCTTCAAAGACATGGTCATGGACGTACGTAAGTCCTCGAATACGTTCTGCCTCCTCTGCATCCACAATTCCATACGAAAGGACGTTTCCTTTCTTAAAAATCTTGATCTTGCCCTCACCAAGTAGCGCATTAATGACATCTGGCAATTGCTCATAGCCACTACCACCACCGTCGCTATTTCCTTCTGTCTTGAAATAATTACGTACTTCTGTATCTGTTACAGGCTCACGATAGTTACGTAATAAGCCGAGAAACTTGGTCATTACACTAGGCGCACTGCCCTTGGCCGTCGAACTCATCGTCGTTATCCTTGATATATGACTGACAATGCTGTATATGAGATACGATATTGGATTGGCTAATAATACAATCTCATCAACGCTATACATTGGTTAAAAAGATACTTTTCATACTCGCCAACCATCACATCGTTCGGTGTCATTTTAAGCTTCAAGTGACTAATCTGATCATGAAGTTTGCCTATCAATTCCACCATTTATGTGGTAGTGTTTACTCACAGGGCAATGTAATCTTCACACCTGATGGTAATTCGGTACTTAGTCCTGTTGGTAATCGTATCACCCAATTTGATCTCATCAAGTACGTCGCTTGATTCGTTCTTTAATTCACTTGTAACAGCGATTGACTACCATCAATGACCTAACGAACTAATTAACTAATTCTTTCTGCATTGGGTTATTATTCTGTAGCAATACATCACGAACTTTTGCCTTTGAAGCGCGCAAGAATATTGAAAATGTGGCTGTATCGCATGATTCACGATTGCTACTTGCTGTGGATGAGGATGGTCGCTGTTTGTTGGTCAACTTGAAACGAGGTGTTGTGCTCTATCGCTTTCACTTTAAACAGCCTGTAAGGGCATTGAGTTTTAGTCCAGATGATTGCTATATTGCCGTTGCAATTGGTAGTAAAGTTCAGTTATGGCGTACACCGGGACTTGTGCGTGAGTTTGCGCCTTTTGTACTGCATCGCACATACACTGGTCATTATGCCGATGTAGTGAGTGTGTCATGGTCGCACGATGCCATGTTCTTTGTTACGGGAGCTGAGGACCTGTCAGCACGAGTGTTTTCGGTGAACCCGTATTCGGAATTTAAGCCTTTGACGCTGTCTGGACATCGCGATGTAGTTGTGGGTGCGTTCTTTGCGGAAAATGACCGATCGATTTTTACAGTTGGACGAGATGGAGGTGCGTTCGAATGGAAATATAAACTTCCTGATGTCGAAATGCTTGAACGGGTTTCTGGCGAGAGCGAGACTGAGGACAGCGAAATCGAGAGTGAAGAGGGAACGTCGGGTAAAGGAAGTGAAAGTGGCGACAACGAAAAGAGCGCAAGTACTGATAATGCGACGGACAAGAAGCGGAAACGTAAATTGCTGGTGGAGCAGGAGGAAGCAATTCCAGATATTGCACGTGCCATCAAATGGTATACCTGCCAGAAACACGTGCTCAAGATGGACTTTGCCAAGGTGCTATGTTGCACTTACCATTCCTCGACTGGCATGCTAGTGGTGGGCTTTGGTAATGGAACGTTCGGTTTGTACGAACTACCTGCATTTGTAAACATTCACACACTGAGTGTCACGCAGAATCAACTGGATACGGTGGCGGTGAATGCTACCGGTGAGTGGCTGGCTTTTGCATCACGCAAGCTTGGCCAGTTGCTGGTGTGGGAATGGCGTTCGGAGACGTATGTACTGAAGCAACAGGGACATTATTTTGACCTTAATGCGGCTAGCTATTCGCCCGATGGGCAGCTGCTGGCATCAGGTGCTGACGATGCTAAACTGAAGCTTTGGGACACAAATAGCGGTTTTTGCTACGTTACTTTCACGGAGCACTCCGCGCCAGTTACAGCAGTGCAGTTTGCTCCCTCCGGGCAAGCCGTTGTCAGTGCGTCGCTGGATGGTACTGTTCGTGCATTTGACTTGAATCGGTATAAGAACTTCCGCGTTCTCACAACAGCAGAGCCCACACAATTTTTGTCACTTGCGCTTGATCCGAGTGGACAGGTGGTGTGTGCCGGGTCAATGGACCCGTTCAACGTGTATGTCTGGTCGTTGCAGACTGGACGTCTTACGGATGTTCTCAGTGGTCACAGTGGGCCCGTGACGTCGTTATCATTTTCACCTTCGTCCTCTGCTGAGCCTATTCTAGCTTCGGCTTCGTGGGACCACACAGTGCGTCTTTGGAACTTGTTTGCTAGCAAGAAGAGCTACATTGAGCCTCTCGCTCACCCGACGGACGTGTTGGCTGTAACGTTCCGTCCGGATGGCAAGCAGCTTGCTTCCACGACGCTGAACGGAGCGATTAACATCTGGAACGCAAGTGATGGCGAACAAGTTGGCACGATTGACGGGATGCGCGACATTGCAGGCGGTCGTAAGGACAGTGACCACATCACGGCGGCGAACAACCAGCTCACGAAGCATTTTACGAGCGTTTGCTACTCGGCTGACGGATCACTTCTTCTCGCCGGTGGCCGCTCTAAGTTTGTGTGTATATACGCCGCGGAGCCGCGGATTTTGCTTAAAAAGTTTCAGATCTCGCACAATTTATCACTAGACGGCATCTTGGAAAAGCTTAACAACAAGAACATTACTGAGAGCGGTCTGAGCAAGAATGAGCTAGACGCTCATCTGGACGATTCGGAGGCTTCAGGTCGCAACGGTGGTGCTGACCTTGTAGGCGCTAAGCGCGCAGTTGATCCGGGAAGCCGCCGTAAGAATATGGAGGTGCTGTCGAAGGCTGTGCTTTTCTCCCCCACCGGTCGTGCTTGGGCTGCCGCAACTACAGAAGGCCTGCTTATCTATGGTTTAGACGAGAGTCTGGCCTTTGACCCGTTTGAGCTGGATGAGGACATTACTCCCGAAACCATCACACAGACGCTCGGACGCCGCGAATACGCTCGCGCCTTGGTGATGGCGTTGCACTTAAACGAGGAGCCGCTTATCACTCGATGTGTAGAGGGTATTCCACTTGCTAGTATTCCGCTTGTGGCACAAACGCTGCGTGGCGAGATGTACCTGCAACGGTTGCTGCAGCTGCTTGCGAAGCGTATGGAACGCAGCCCAAACCTTGAGTTTTACCTTCAGTGGAGTCTAGCTGTACTGAACACGCATGGTCAAACTCTGCGCGACGATCCATCCAGTAGCGCTACGTGTCTGCCTACCTTGCGTTCATTGCAAAAGAGTATTGCGCGCCACTTGCAGGACCTTGCCCAGATGTACGTTAATCTTATGCTTGACAAACTTGACGAGTGTAGTTGTGAGCATACTGTGCCTGACATATTGTCTCATCTCTTTGTGTTTTGCAGCTGCGATGATAATCAGTTTACACTCAGCTATCTTAAAAACCTCAGCAAGATGCAGCAAACGCGATAGATCGATTCGACGGCCAACCAGAACGTTTGCTGGCGTCTTGTGTACTGTTGTGGGCAGCCGTTTACAATCCCGAGACAAGTTGCTTAGTAGAATGAAATGGGCTTGGGACCATAATAATAAATAGACTTATTGTGTGCTTCTCAATGCTGGTGCTTGAGTTTGACATGCGCAGGTTGTGCTCTATTATATCCCGCGTCAGCTTTCAGGAAATGTTACTCTGACCATCAGTGTTGCTATTGGCATCTGCGTCATTGGTTGGGATCCACATCTTAATGTCCCGGTTCGACCCAGATACCATCAGTGCACGTGTTGGATGGGCCGCAAGCGCAAGCACAGGATGGTCATGCCCGGTCAAGACCGAGCACATTTCTTGCGTTCCAACATCCCACATGAAGATGCGATTATCTTCCGACCCACAGGCAACGACAGGCTGCTTGTTCCATTGTTGCTCTAAGAAAGCGCATTGCATGCTGAATTTACTGTTGACATGGCCTTTGTACGAGCGGACACAGATGTCACGCATGTAGTCCCACAAACGCAAAGTACTGTCAAGCGTCGAACTCAGCACGTATCGTCCATTAGGTGTAAACCTTGCACTTCCTACAGGCGCTGCCGGCTCTGTGATGATAGAGCGCATACACTGACGAGAAGCCACATCCCATACACGTACAAGGCCATCATATCCAGCGGTGACCAAGAGCGAACCGTCTGTCGGGTGGAACTCCACGCTCACTACTGGTTCTTGATGTGCACCAATGACTGCGACGGTTCTAGCACTGCGTACATCCCACAGCCTCACGTTCTCGTCGTGTGAGCCTGTAGCGACTAAGGATCCCTGCGGATTAAAAGCCACACAGCTCACAAAAGCCGTATGTGATTCAACAGGCGGGTCCGACGCGATCAAAGAAGCATGCATTGCCTCCTCATCCAGTCCTAACGTAGCAGAAGATCCTTTGAGTAGTGCTAATGGAGTAGTAAGAGCAGCATCGAGACTTTTATGTGTTGCACCCAAGGTGGCAAGTGTCTTGGCTGTTTCAACATCCCAAAGCCGTGCCGTTCGATCATCCGAAGCTGACGCCAAATGTCGTGAATCCGGTGACCAACAAGCTCCTGATACACCTGCTTCATGTCCATATAACGAAGTCTTTAATGAAGTCTCAAGTTTCTTGTTTGTGGTGTCCAATTGCCAAATCTTGATCGAAGAATCAGCAGCTACAGAGACAAGAAAGAGATAGAAACAAGCACAGTCTTTAAAACCACGAAAAAAAACAATGATCGACAATAGAGAGAGAGGAGATCAGAAGAGTGATATGAAGAGGAGGAGTCTATACCACCATACAAGAAGAAGCTAGAAAATTGTCATTATAAGAGAATGAAAGGCTTGAAATGGGCTTCATATGTGCAGTTAGCGTCTCATGGGTACACCATTGGAATACCATTTTTGATCGAGATATTGTTGATTGAGTACGTGAAAATTGATATCCGGTTTGTCCTTCGACAGGGGTTTTAAACCCGAGCTAAAACCTCTTGTAGTTTATATACAACAACAAAAAACATTCGAGAAGGTGGTTGAGTCATTAAGTATTTGACCATGTCGGAATCGGACTCAAGGTTTGAAGTATTGGAAGAAGAGACGCATTATCCTACGCCTAATTCCAAGAATAGTAAGAAAAAGGAAGAGGAAAAGAAAGAAGAGGAGGAAGAAGAGACATTGGAGCAACAATTGGAGCGACTTGTGTTGAGTGTCAAGAAAAAGAGCGACGTGGAGGATGAGACTGTTGAAAAGACGACGGACAAGGTGAAAAAAGCATCGGCAGCTAAAGAACTTGGGAACAAGTGAGTGATATGATGAGGATTAGTATTGATATTAGTATGGACAGGGTTGGAAGAATAGATTGAATGTATGTATGTAGATATATGAATGATAAGATGATAAACATTGTATTTGCTATAGATTCTTTACTCGAGGTAGCTACTTGGACGCTGTCGAGTGTTATACAACGGCATTAAAGCTCTGTCCAGAAGAAGAGGAATATGCTTATAGCAGAGTACGTACATTTGAGTAATGAAATTCATTGTAGTGGTTTGTCTCCTAAGTTATGATAATTCTGTTTGTGTGTATGTATTGATGACAGGCAGTTTACTTTAATAACAGGGCAGCGTGTTTGATGCGACTTGGAAGGACTGAAGAAGCAGTGGATGAGTGTAATCAGGCGGTGAAACTATCACCGACGTACGTTAAGGCTCTTTTACGTCGAGCAGAAGCGTTTGAGAAGCTGGATAAACTTGAAGAAGCACTTGCGGATTATGACGCTGTGTTGAAGATTGACTCGACGGTGCGCTCAGCTGTGCAAGGTCATGAACGTTTGCAGAAGATTGTGCACGAACGCCAAGAGAAGATGAAGGCAGAGATGATTGATAAGCTGAAAGGGTTTGGTAACACTCTCTTGGGCAAGTTTGGACTCAGCACTGACAATTTCCAGATGGTGCAAGACCCTGCGACGGGATCGTACAGTATTAATTTCCAGCAGAATCCGGGACAACCTGGCCAGCATAAGCCATCCTAAGTGCAACACAAGTAGAACTACGGATGCAAGGACGGGAATAGTAGCGAGAAATATGCCCCGACGTGTAGAAACGCAGCTTTCATGAATAGTGATAATGTAACCTTGTTGTCACGTGACCTACGCCGCTTTCTTGCCTTTCACGATTCTTGCCTCCACCTCCTTCTTTATTCTTCACCACGACCATGTTTGTCGTGCTCTTTACGACAAAGCACCCTACATTACATCCACCCTTTGAATGCATGCATTGTAAATAATTTTCAGGAAAGCTTGTGTTTCAGTCTAGACGGCTGTCCATAATTTGAGGCGCTTTGCTGATAAAGCTGTTGCCATAGTGCAATCAATGCCTGTTCAGCTGAGTTTGATGCAACATTTCAAGCAAAGCGTTGAAGGAAAGTGAGGTCTAGAAGTCTGCGTATTCTAGCTGATGTATATCTAAGTGATCAAGAAGATCGTCGTCATGCATTGTGACATTCACAGTGTATATCTGAAGAGCTACGAGTCAAGAATGAAGTAGATTTTATTAATTGCATGGATTTACCCGAGTATGTTTGCTAAAACATACTCACATAACTGACGGTCAATAAACGCAATAGAGGCATTCCTCCATAGTGTATAGCACGAAAAAGCGTCTTGCATGCAGTAACAACTTAAGGAGTGCACTCCTTGCCTTCCGTGCCATCAGCAGGAATGAACCAGCAATGCTTTGTTTCCACCCCACCAATCGTTGTTTCATTCATACTGGATCCGAACGACCATGAAGAATCAGCCGTGTGGTACTGGAGTTTTAGCCATTCTTCCGAGGCTTTCACCGAAAAGAAACCATACTCATTGCCTGAGTACGTCCACATGTTTTTGGCATACTTGGCTGCATATGCTGTGAGACCACTGGCAGATTCCTTCTGAATACCACCTCCAGCTCCGTTCTCCACAAAATGCACGCCAAGCGGCTCCGAATAGTCGTGCTTCTCACCGTGAGTGTGACCGTACATCCAAACGTGAATGCCAGAACCCTCTAGCACATCAAACCACTCTTTCATTCCTTCCTCGTCATAGTGCACGTGAGGGCTGTAGTGGCTGTTAACAATCTTCCACGTCGCAGTTGACGTCGCCACCTTCTCGGCAAGTTGCTTGCGCGAGTCGTCACTCCATTCCACAAATTTTGCAAAACATGCATCATACATCTCGGTGTCGCCACCAGCGCAAAATTTATGCCCACGAGCAACACCTTTGCACGAGTCGTCATTACCTTCCGAGTAGCCAAAACACTGACAGCATACTTGCAGAGCAGCATGCACGTCAGCGTCACCCGTATCAACGTTGAAAATGTCAATACTAACACCCGACTCAGCATCTTCAATCGAGTAGACGTAAAAATGGTCTTTTAGCACCCAACGTTCGTTGTTGTAACTCGTATACTCTTGCTGCCATTTGAACTTATTCTCAAGACCTACAATAATTTCTGTCACACTGCCGCATTTGGCAGGCTCGTCGTCATACGAGCAAATGAAGCTACCACCACCGTAATCGTGGTTACCCAGTACATTACAAAAGGGAATGTTAAGCAGAAACTTACCCTTAAACTTGCTCTCGAAGGTTGACATAAACCGAGAATTGCGTCCTTTTTCACTGTTGATACCCGTGTAGTAAAAATTGTCACCGTGGCCAAGGATCACTTTAAGATCAGTCTCCAAAGTTGATGCTTGTGTGTCCATGAGACTAGCAACAACATCTTCTGCCACAATATCAAAGTTCGTGTACGTTTCGGAGCGTGTGCAGCACGAGTCTTGGTACAGGGTCGTCCCCCAGTCACCAATGGCAAAAACACAAAGCGAAAAGGTTGCTAATTGACGTCACAAGACTACGCATTAGTGGACTTTTCGGCTTATCAAGTTCAAAACAGAAATGACGTACCAGTAGTCGGGTCGGAAGTGATTAACTTGGTAGTGTTAGTTTTCTTCTTCGACGCTTTACTCGTGCCATCCGATGGTGTGGCCGTAGAGCTCTCGCCACTACCAGATGAGGTTGAGCCATAAGTATCCGAACCTGGGACGTCGTCGTCACCTAGACGAGACACGATGATGCCAAGAATGACGCCTATAACAGCCAATGCCACTACCACTGCCCCACCAATTGCAAGTTTCTTCTTTGGCATCTCAATCTCTGATTTTTTGCGTCTCTACCCACAACAACAAACTACTCAATGGTTTTTAGTCCTAGCGTCTGTCTTCTTGAAAAAGAATCTGGAATGCTTTCTCGACAAAATGTAAAATGACCATTGTGCTGCTTGCTGCTACCCTTTCATGGCTATCCCAAGACACTAACATCCGGTCCTTCTGGCTCTCCTGATTGGCGATTGCATGAATATTTAGGACATTGTCGACATCACGGAATTGACAGCAGTTAACGTTTTGATGTTGTCATAGTTAAATGAATGTACTCGATTTGAAGCATTTGAGCTTGATTGCACGTGTCTGAGTCCGTGGGTACGAATGAATGTGTTTGTGAAGTTAAAGACGTAGTTGTCGCCTAAACGGTCGTATCCGAAGTAGTGGACAGAAAGTCTATCGGGTGAAAGCACAAGTATGACGCACGCTTTTGTAAATAAATGGTAACAGGTACATGCGACGCTGACGAGAAGGTGGAATATGGCACAGTGAACGCGTGAATTGCGAGATCGATATCGTAGCACGTGCTGTGAAAAGCAAGTAAAGGCGTATGGGACTTTTATGGATTGCCAAGCAAGTTCGATGTCAAGCTGGTTGGACAGCAGCGATAAGAAATTCTATGCCAGCTTTTCGAATTTCCTTTAGAAGCGCAAACGGATGATGTACATCGTGAAGCAGTTGCAAGAGTAGATGACCGGCTAGCGTTCCTCTCTACGCTCCTGAAAACGGACCGAAAAACTTGATAACTATGAACTTCTTCTACAAGCGCTACATGATTGAGGTTGCGAAGCACTGACTGTGCAACAAGTCTATCGTGCTTGCGTGCTTTCGAATCTGGCAGGATGAGATAACAACTGTTGCAAGGATTCTAATTACCTCTCTCTGCCTTGAGGTAGACAGCTAGAAAAAAAGAAGACAACGCGCAAGGAACACGAGAGTTTGACAGCATAGAAGAGCGCAAGCAATGTGGTAAACGCTATTCAACACGAATGAATGCTACGAGACAACGCCTGGTAACGAGGATTTAGCTTGTGGCATACCGAAAGACATGTTTTTCTTGAATTGATCATATCCTTTGGTTCTTTTATATGAGTTGAGAGAAAGCCAGATTTGCTTCATTCATTCTCTTCACTACTTCAATGAGCTATACTTGTGCTAGAAGTGTATTCGTAAGCTTCATTCCATGTGAAATGACAACGACATGAAGCAAAATTTCAAGTTTCTCGCTATCAACAGATATTCGATATATACGTATTTCTTGACCTAAGAATAAAGAGTCTCTCGACGATTAGACGAGAATTGCTATATTGCATTGCTGCACGAGGCATTTTCAATACAACTATATCCATATATACTTTACACACACAGCAACACTTTTAAAGATACAGAAGGGATCTGGCTAAGGGGCTCTCGATGAACAGCTTCGGAAGATGGAGCATTGTGTGGAGATGACGAGTGGCACTGAGCAGCACTGAACCAAACACCCAAGCAAGTCTATAGTCACGACAACAGCCTGTCCGAGTTTCAGGTGTGGACAGAACATTGAGTAACAACGCATCTGCTCAATCGACATTACAACAACCGACCGCTAGACCGACGCTACCCAAACTCAGCGAGTGTGCTGGTCAAGTGGAAACGTATTCTCACCTCCGTGTGCGGCAGCGTGCTGGGTAAAATTTATTGCGCACTGGACCGGGAAAAGGTGGCCACAAGAGCGGCTATTCGAAATGAAGGAATACTGCGCAAGCAGACGTCCGCCAACCTGATTCACCACCACATACTTTACACACACGTGACTTTTTCACAGAAGCTTGGAATGATTAATGCCAGTTTAATGAATGGGATGCTTCTACCGAGTTTTGTCTCGTAACTACCTCCACGCTTGCAAAATGGCAAAAAATCTACATGCGACCACATAAACTATCCGTGCAAGGTATTTGCTACCATATTGAACTGTCCATAATGGTCTCGTTAGAAGGTAAATAGAGATAGAACGACACCGATTATATATCACAGCTGTAGACCTCAATCGCCAAACTTGTCTCACCGAGAGAAACACATTTTCGTATAGAGGCAACCTGTAGTAATTCATCATCTACAATAAATAGACACAGCTAGCAACAGCGAGGTCTTAGTGTAGCTTCTGTACTAATTGGTAAAATGTAGTGATGTTGTGCCAAGACTGTTGCTGGCGCACAAGTCATGGTATAATGCTCAATAAGAAAAGTCAACAGCTGAAACGTGAGTATGTGTCGTTGCAATTACCACCAGTTCTGACGAGTTGGCCTCGCCATTTTTATAGCTCATGAACTATTCGATTCGTTGTTACGGCACAATAAGATGTCGGCTTGAAATGATGCCACGTTGTGCAAGTCTTTACCAACGCCGTCCGGTGTTGGTCTCTATTATTCAAAGCTTCTACGTACGACCATTACGCAATCAAACGAAAGTCAATTTGTTTTCTTTATCCTGCGACGTCGTGTTTTTCGTTCTTGGGCTTTTGTACCCTGTCACAAACTTGTTATTGTAACAATTCCATGTGCCTTATACACTTCACCTTATGTGCTTTGCTACATCCTAGTATCATATCTGCTGTCCTATGCTAGTGACTGCCAACCCTTAACTCCACAGTGACAGCTTCCGGACGGTACAAGTGCCTGCACAAACTTGAAGAAAATAATAATTTGACAGCTCATAGAGTGAAATACATACACGTTGCCACCACCCCCTGCTCCTTTTGTTTGTTCGGTGGCAACTACTTGCGGCTATCAATGGGGCTGTAGAGAAAACGATCGCGTCGTTCCTGGTGCATCTTTACAATAGCCACGCAAACCAACACCACTGTAAAAACTACCAGCATAGCAAAAACGCCCGCAACAGATCCTTGTTCTCGTGTTTCATCCGGTGCCTTTTCTACAGTAAATTGTGTCGCCGTTTGTGACTGCCATGGGCGGTCGGGGTGGCGACTTAAAATGTAGGCATAGCGTTCTGTAGTCGTGCCTTTGTTTTCATTAAACAAGGGCGTGCCACCCGTGTACATTGTCGTCGCCACGTCGCCATACTGGTTCAGTCCATGAGCTTGAATCCAGTCGTCCATCTCTTTTTTCTCATCCTCAGAAAACCCTTTGGTTGCAACCCTTTGGTTTGTCTTCACCACCACCTTTTCATAGCCTACACCAGCCGCCATAAAAGAAAAGTAAGTCAAAAACAACCAAGATGAAGTCAAAAAGAACATTGACAATGCATTTCTTATCACAACACTCTCTTCCTTATGATAATGCAGTAGAGCACGTTTACGTACTCTCCTCCTCCAACGCACTCTTCTTCGTATTTTTCGTGCAATTGTAGTCTAATGCATCAGCAGCTTTAATCTCCTCAATGTTGAGAACTTTAAGCGTATTCGTCCACGGCTGCTCGAAGACCAGCACCTTCAACTGCGTAGGTTGACAGGTTGACAGCGTCGAGGAGGAACACATGCCATTCGAAATTGTGACATTGCATCCTGAAGCGCTGAAGCAATAATTGAAGCCAGACACCACCTGTGTCTTCACAAAGTTCACCTCCGAGATACACACCTGCGTTGAGCCTATTACATTGGAGTAGCACTTGCCGCTAAGTGCGTTGACCAGCACAAGCTTATCATCATTCGTCAAGGCATGAGCCTCAGACCAACCGCCTAATTTGAGGTCTACTACATCATTGCGCGCTGCAGCGAATGCGGGGAACGCCAAGAAGAGACAAAAAGCTGGACGCATTTTAATTGTGATGATTCGTGAGTAAGTGAGAAGGCTTTTCAAAAATGAGTGGCAAAGGGTTTCTTTTACTGGCTTTTTTTAGAGTGAGAATCAGAGATTGGAAGGCATAGCGGGATAAATAGAATTAGCTTGATTTCTACCATATTATAGCTTGATGGAAGAGATTATATTTAACGTATCAACGGCATTTGGTGATTTGAAAATAAGGTTTGCTATCGATTATATAAAAGATAGCGTGGCTGCTTTTCAGCGCTTTTATAATAATAATTCAATCAGCTACGATATTCGCTCCTTAGCTTAGACTCTCTTGTACAAGTATACCTTAACTGCGATTACTTAACTAGATCCTTTCGTCTCACGCCAATAACTTCCAGACAAAAAATCGTAAACTAAGCAACAAATGAACTTCGGAAGTATCATGAGCGGTGGCGCAAGTCCGAGTGTGCCCCAGCAGCCACCGCAACAGTCTCAGCTCATGATGGCAAAGGTGGAAATGGCTTCTTATGCTGATTTGTTTGAACGACTGTCACGTGTGTGTTTTCAGAAATGCAAGTTCAAATATAATGACGGTCAACTTAACGTGGGTGAGATGAGCTGCATTGACCGTTGTGCCGGCAAATACATGCAGACATACAGTTTACTGGGCGTCAAGATGGCACAGGTGGAGAAGGAAATTATGGATCAGGCCGGTGCAGGCGTGCAGCAGCAATAAGAACCTCCGCTACGATGACAGCTAGGACACCAAATCCTTCTTTATCGACCAGGATACTAACAGATTAGACGCTTGATCAAGGCCAATACTGGTAGATCTAATAGTAGATTACGTCATTGTGTTTTTTGCCCAATGTGTTGGTCGGTTGATTCATTGTGTGATTCTTACTTGATGGATCTGCTTCCTGCATCAGGACCAAACCAATTTCTTTCAAATAAGCTCATTCTTGTGGTGATGCTAATTTAACTTGATGTGCTTTCGTTTAGTTTAGTGCAAAGTAATGCTGTGTCTGCCGTAATTGCTAGTAAAGCTCACCGCCATTGGCGTCAATGATGGTGCTCAGTGGAAGTTTCTTGCTGCCATGTACGGTTGTTTGAGCTTTTGTAGCTGGCACCATCACCTTCGTCTTTAGGTGATTCCTGCGTATATCTTGTTTCAAATGTGTAGCAATTCCCATTCACGTCGCTCATGGTATCGCACTCTAAGCCTTGGTCACTAGTCGTGGTACCGCTTGCACGAACGCAACTCCATGTTGCTTCTACGGCATTGCATTGAGGTGCCCACGGTGTGCCGTAGAATGGTACGGCGGAAGCCTGCTGTCGCAAACTACTATATCCTCCAGTTTTCACTGCTGGCTGCTGGTTTTTACGGCAGTTCTGTCCTCTCACACTCCGTTGGCTTTCTGCTGATTCCTGCGGCGGTGTAAATACTGCCGCTGTTTCTGTCAACCATGCACGTTCCATTTTGATGCGAAGTGCTTCCACTCGGCGATGATGATACATTCACCGGCACAATCACGTTCAGGTTTGCCTGAAAAAAGAGTACATCAGTGCTTGACTCGATGTCGGTCGCTGTTTTGGATCAAATTGAAGCATGTCCGTCATGAGTTGAAGCGCTTCTGGACTCGCGTTTGGAATAAACTGCGCCAGTGATGTCGGTACGAACTGTGGGAAACGGTAATTCATCTGTGCTGCGAGCTTCATTCCTTCTGGCCACGTGCAGTCCGTTGGGTTTCCAAACACTGAACAAATCTTGTATATTTGATCAACCTCACTGGTGCCTGGAAAAAGAGGCCGAAGAGTGAACATTTCGACCATAATGCAGCCCATGGCCTACACGTCAATTGGTGAAATTGTACGTTGTAGATCGCAGCAACACTTCTGGAGCTCGGTACCAACGCGTCGACACATAGTCGATGAACGGCAGCCGCGACCAAATGTCACTGGCCAATCCAAAATCAGCAATCTTGACGGTATCACCCTTGACCAACATATTCTCGGGCTTGACGTCTCGATGAAAGAAGCTTTGTTTGTGCATATAGGCTAGTCCCTGTAGCATCTGATACATGAGGTTGCGTATTTTGGACTCGGGAAAGTACCGGTCTCTCATCTTTAGAACATCGTACAGACTGCGGTCCATGTACTCAAATACAAAGTAGAGCGTATCATTCTGTCGAATCACCTCTTTCAGTTTAACAATATTGGGATGACAAAGTTTCTTCAAAGACTACAATCGTCGCCATGAAACGTCTTGGTCAAGCAATCCTTCGACTGAAACAATAGAATATCGTGAATTTGTATGATAAACGTACTTTTACTTCATGTAACTCCATACATTCCTTCCATGAGTGAAATTTCCTTTTCATACGTTTAATTGCCACCTCAATAAGTAGACGAAATCGAAAACAATGGGTCAGTTGGTATCAACACAAGACAAACAAAAGTCTACAGTCATTTGTGTCCAATGTACATACTACTTGTTTTGATTGACAATGAGTAGACTTAAATACAGAACCGTAGGTACCATCACCTATTTGATTTATAACCTTATACCGATTCGTTATCAACGTTTGAACGAGTGGCTGCGCTCTATTATTGCACTTTTTGTCACAAAAACACGTTACGCAGTGAGAACGGGACTAAAAAATGAGAAAGGAGACTAAAAACTAGTCATGATTTAGTTTTGGTTTATGTGATATCTGTACACAATGTACCCAAAGTAATATGTCTCACAGAACCCAATTTAAAGGCTGTAGGACTACTTAACAGATATACACACAAATGCAAACGTGGGAAGCCTTTGGTGCTGGTCTCGCTGTTGTGGCGTCCATTGTGTCTAACTTAGGCGTGAATATACAAAAGTATTCGCATTTAAAGGAATCTTTCAAGCCTTTGCACAATCGTCAGCCGTATATTCGGCGTCCCGTGTGGTGGTTGGGATTTGCGTTGGTCGTTTTCGGAAGTTTCGGTGACTTTACAGCCTTTGGATTTGCAACGCAGTCGCTTGTAGCAGCATTAGGAGGTGGCGCAACACTTGTAGCGAATGTGATTACTGCTCAGTGTCTTAATGGAGAGAGACTTTATAAGGTGAAGATTAGTCGAGATGATGAATAATATTAGTGTTGTTCGTATTTGAATTCTTGATAGTGGAATCCGATTTCTAGTAATTATAACAACGATTATTGTAATGATTGTCTTGATTTTTTGTAACAGACAGATATTGGTGGCGTTTTATTGGTTATTATGGGTGTGGTCATTATTGCTTGGATTGCAGAACCAAATGTTGAGTACCCATTACCAGAGCTTGAGTTAAGATTTGTTAGAACGCGTAAGTAAATATATACGTCTGACGATTCAATGGTAACAAAATCAACGAGCTTACTGTTGTTTTTGTTTTATGTATTATAATATTCTTTCTTGTTTTTATGGTGCTTTCTTGTAGCATTCGTCGTATATCTCACTTGTGTTGGAGTTTGTGCTGTGAGTATGCTCGCCACTATCAAAGGTTCCGTTGCTAATCGGCTGAAGAATCAAATGTACTGGTCAAATAAACGTCGAAAGAAACTGATGAAGGTTTGTATCGAGTTCAGTTTGGAATGAATAGCTCCAGTGCTGCTCCTTACATCAGATCGTGCCTTTTGTGGCCTGCTTGTTACAGCAATTTGAGCTTCGAGTCCAGCGACTTGAGCAGCGACTATTAGACATGGAAGTAAAGCTATTACAAGTCACTTCATCAACGTCAGCACTCCCTATTGGACTTGTGGACCCGCCTGCAATGAGCAGAGAGCTGCAAGAGCTGATTGATTCAGTCAATGTGGAAGATGCTGATGAAGACGAAGTAATTGCGGCCCGAAAGTCTAGGGTTCCGTATTATTACGCAATCTGCTCAGGCATTGTTGGTGCATTGACAGTGCTCTTGGCCAAGTGCTCGGCTATTATGATTGCACTTACCCTCAAAGGCGACAACCAGTTCAAGTTCGGCCTGACATACATTTTCCTGGGCGGCATGTTTGTGTGTATCCTCATTCAGACACACTTCCTCAACATGGCCACTGCGTTGGGTGACATCATGACCGTATTTCCTATTTTTCAAGCTTGCTGGATTACTTTTAGCGTTGTTGGCGGCGCTGTCTTTTATCAAAATGAGAATGAGCCATTTTCGACTACGAACAAGGTGCTTTACCCTTTGGCATTAATTTCTATCGCGGCAGGCGTTGGACTGTTGGTGCAACACAACTCCTCTTCAGTGACAGCCAACAATGGGAAAGTGGCGACTAAGACACGAATAGGAGACGACGACTTGAAAGCGTGCGATACGAACGACGAAGACGATGACATTTTGCTGGGTGCAGACGCTTCCATAAGTTCGCCCCTGCTTCCTGTGCAGATGATAGACGCTTGAGCGCATAGGAACTTGTTTATATTGTTGAAAGTTGATAAAACGCTGTCGAGATGCGTCAAGCGATACAGCACCAAAACAAATGGTGACACGGTCGTGCTGCGACATCTACTCATCATCAATGACAATGTCCGGGAAGTCGTCATCGTCGTTATCATCATTCACAACTGTAGCAACAGGCACTTTTTTGTCGTCACCCTCAATGCATTCTGCAGCTGGCTCCTCTTCCTCGTCGCCACTATCGTCATTACCTTCAGCTTCCTCCTCCGTAATAGATGCAATGGTCTCCGTCGGACCCTCCGTTATAGTAGCCTGCAGACGAGCATCATCATAATCTTCGTCTTCTTCATCATCATCCTCGTCCTCGTCTTCCTCCGAAACAGTGGGCGCCTCCGTCTGTTTCAACTCCTTCGATTCGTGTTTGTCTGCCTGCTCATTCTCCGCAACTTCGTCAGCACCTTCATCGCGTTCGTTTTTATCCCAATCCATAACATCCCCCAGCGTAGTGAACTCGCATTTGCCCTTCGTATTGGCCCCAAAGCGACCCTTATTTCCTCGTCCGTTGCTCGTGTCTTGTTGGATGTTGATAGTCAATGGAGGTGCACGCGGATGAAGCATTGCCTCGCCGGCATTAAGAGCTACCAGCTGAAGTGCCGACGAAGCACCACCGCAACCGATGACGCGACGCTGCCAGTATTGTATACCACAAAGCAGATTAGTTGCATGTGAGCCTGTGGCGTCAGCAGTCACTGTGCTCGACAGAAGCGCAAGCGCCACCGGGTCGACGGCACCGTGAGCGTGACTGGATCGCACTGCATGTCGGCGTTGCACCGCTTTGACCGTGAGTTCACTAGCCAATGAACGACACTCGTCCGGTAACAAGCTCCCGTAGACGCTCACACAACTAGCGATAGTACTCACAACTGCTTCGAAAGTCATCGCGAGTACAGTCTCATCATGCATAGAAATGAAGCTAGATTGGCCTGCAGACATAGTGCCTCCATTTAGAGCAGCAAGAGTTGCTGCTGCAGCAACTTGACGCTTCCGTTTCTTGCTTTTGTTTCCACCGTGCTTTGCGTCATCTTGTTGTGTCGCCAATGCCCTAGCCATATCGTTCGAGATGGTGGTAGCACTTGTCTTTTCACCAAGACTACGCTTGCAGCGCGCGACCAACTCGTTCAGCAATGGCACCCCAAGCATTTCAACAGTGCTGGCACCCAGACGACGTGCACACACCGCTGTAGCATCCGCCAAGGCCAAAAGATCCTCGCCGTCACTCACACTTTCGGAAGCAAGCAAAAGAACACGCGTGATACTGTTAGCATGGCGCAGAGCGCAGATCCCAGTACGCTCTACCGACGCGCTCAATAAACGCAAAGTTTGCGCACGAACACGCGGGATCACAGCATATATGACGCTAATCGGCAGCCGCACGCCATCATCCGATACACCCGTGTGCTTACCCACCTCGTGCGCACGCACTCCCATGGCGCGCCGAGCAAACGACACCATGTCTGGAAGCATATGTTGTACCTCACGCTCAGAGATCTGTCCGCGACTCTGGGTTGCAGTGCGAACACTCAGCAGTTCCTGCAATGCACTCAGCGCACGAGTCATCCTAGTCAACGTTACTTCCGCACGCTGATAGACTGGTAGTTGCTGACTAGCCGCACCCTGCACCCACAGCTTCTTTCCCGACACTCGTTCCGTTGAAGGCACTATCGAGCGTTTACCTGCAAACAAGTCAAGCTGCTGGTGCGCAGCTTCCAAAGCTTTTTGAACCATATGCGTCCATACTTCTTGCGGTTTGTCCGATGCATTGCACAGCAATGCCAAGCACAATCTTGCTTTCTCAGCGACAACCTTATCATCATCACTCCCGTCCGCAGCTGGAAAAAGTGCACCCACACAAGCAGATTCAATCTTCACTGCGTAACTTCGGAGTGAATTAGGAGACGTGCAAAGCAATGTTTGAATCAGCTCAAATTGTGCAATAACCGAACCCATATTTCTGGTTTTCTTTTTGCTCGAAAGCAGGGCCACTAACGGCTGCAGAAGCTTTCCCAGCAGCTCCAGCACCTCACGACGTGTGTCTGAGTTGAATCTATTCACATGAAGAAGCAGTGATTGAGATACACGACAAGCAGCAGCAATAGATGCCGCTTCAGCAATAGATGCCTCTGCGTCCACAACATCCCTCTTCATCGACTGCTGCTGCTTCAACAGCTTTAATACGCGCTCCAGCAGCTTCACAGCCAGCGATTCCAGTCGTGTCAGTGAACTCTGACGCGTCATTATCAGCAGCAGCTCCCAGCCTATATGACAAGCAGAAGTTGGTGCTTCTATGAGCTGCAATAGCCTTGTTTGCCATTTCATCAGCGCCTTCCCGTCCGTAACAAGGCCGAACACGTTATGGCGCTCCAGCGCCTTCCGCAGAGCCGATTGTTGCATCACAAAAACTTCCATTGCAGTGTTTTCACTCTCCACGTCATTAGGAAAGGCCAACGATAGCACAGACGACAGTAGATTACGCGCTAGAGCCGTCTCCATGTCACGTGAGTCCGATGTCATGACAGGTGCAACAAGACAAGAGATTGACTGGAGGACTGGGATCGTGGTAGTGGATTGGTGGAAACAATGTAACTGCTTTCAGCCAATGCGAAGTAAGTGAGGAATATTACAGCGAATCAGAGAGGCGCATGATGAACCAGCCTTCCCAATAGAAACTATGGCTACACTCCTAGAAATCGAGCACATGTCCAGATATCGTCACTAGATTCCATTCAATCGTTTTTCTAGACCGCATAGACGTAGCAGTAATTCGAAGCAACCGGCAATGGAAGAAGATGAAAATCCGTGAGCTCACAGTCACTTTTACTGTCGTTCATTACTAACAACTCCTAAATCTCTTTCTCATCTTAAGCTCAACTTTCATTCGCGTACATGAAAGTAAACGCATGACGGATGATGCGTAACCTAAGCGAGCATACACACGGTCCTAACTTGCACAACAGCGCACGGCTAGAACACCGTCACAATTCATTCAATACCTGGGCAACTGGATAAACTGAGCTTTCTACGCACTTTCTGCGTCGGCGTCCTCTTTTAAAATCAAGTCCTCGCCATCATCTGCATCCCCACCAAGCTTGGCAGCAAGAGTCGATTCCATGCGCTCAAGCTGTTTTGCTAGGTCGTTGATTTGCTTCGAGTGACTGCTGATAGCGCTGACCATTTGACCCTGTTGGTTCCGTAGTTGTTCCTGTGTACAAGTTGTTTGAGACAGCAACTGCATGAGCCGCATCTCCATTTCGTCCGGCGCAGCCTCCCCGCCTCCTGTAGGCGCTGCAGCCTGCACTGGTGCTTCTGCCGCAGCCGGTGCTGCTACAGATGCTTCCATCGTTGCAGCAGGCTTCGGCGCCTGAGGCGCTGGCCCTACCGGCTTGTGGCTTGACGTAGCAAGTACCCGTGACGACGGCCTCGGCGACTTTTTCGGCGGCGGTATTGACGGCGCTGTACTTGGTGCACTGGGCGCCGGAGCTCGTGGTGTACGTTTTTTGCCCTCGTCACTCTCACTCAATGGTGTTTGCCGTCCTGATGAAGACGACGACTTCTGCGATGCGTCCACGCCCTCTTCTCCTGATACGGAATTCTTAGCCAAGATTTCCTCAAACTTACGCAGAAGGCCACGGACAACTGTCTGCATCTGTGAAATCACATCCATGCAAGCAAATCGCGGGATCACATCAAACACTTCAATGGCTCCAATTGTGTGCCCGTTTGACAGCGTAAGTGGGATGCCCGCGTAAAATTGCGCTTGAAGCATATCCCGCCGCCAAGGATTAGCAGCAAAGCGCACATCTCGAGTCAAATCACTACAAACCAGGGGCGAACCGTTTCGGCACGCATGAGCTGCTAAACTTTTCTGTCGGTCAATCTTGCCCAGCGATCCGAGACCCGACTCAGCACATGGCACGTATACATGCTTATCAAGCAGACCCACGAGAGCCATCGGACTCGAAGTCGCAATAGCAGCCATATTACAGAGCTGCATGATAGTCTGCGAGGCCAAGGTACAAGCCTTCATGGCTCCACGGATTGCCCGAACTGACCGAAGGCGTTCTTTTTCATCGTCAAGGTGCTTAGCTGCAATGTACTGGTTCTTGGCAGCCGGATCGGCAAGTTCCAGGAAAAAAGGGTACGGCACTTCAAAGTACTCGTGCAGCGGAGCACAAGCCTCGTTCATGCACCAAGGACAGTCCTCCGTGACCGCCGGCGGTCCAGCAAAGGAGCCGTGACGTCCTCGGGCACAAGCTGCAGCGTCTGCATTGCCACTAGTCGTACTCGATTTGCGTCGGATCGAAAGATTCGATGAACTCGCCGCACGTTTGTCCATAAGCGCCTGCGAGTCTACCATGTTGGGGCTAATTATTCCCACCAACATGTCGTCCTTGGATGCATTGGATCCGTTCCCTGTTCCTGACGAATACGACGCAAAGCTCAGCCGATCCGTCATAAAATCTTCGTCACTTCCACTTGGCAGTGATTCCGTCGTACCAGCAGGATAAGCTCCTCCATGCGTGGAAAAGATACGATCGTAGAAATCGTCCTGTGACGCAATCGAGCTCAATTTGCAGCTTACGCACATGCGCACGGTCATGGCACCTTCAAATGTGCTTTCAACCCTTCTCGAAATGCTGCACGAGCTGCATACTACAGCTGTGCACGTACGGCAATAGTGTCGTCGACGTAGTGGATTAAAATTCTTGCCACATACGGAGCATTTCTTACTGGACTTGCATTCAATACTTGCATTAGTAGTAGAAACGTGACCACCTCCATGATGTTGATGACCACTTGCTACAATTGTCGTCGTATTTGTGCCCGTAATAGAGCTCGTCGTTGTAAACGTCATGGGTTTACGATTACCACGGCTGTTATATTCCGTGACACGATTGTGATCCATAGCGAGACTATGATTTAATGCATCCATCTCGTTTGAATGTGTAGGTTGAAATGTTGACGTTGTTTGATGTGCAAATGATTCAGCTGAAGAACTCGCGGTACTACGTGTTGATGAAAGTGACGCGTCGACGGCCGCAACTTGATCGTCCGTAACAAATTTTCCACTAAGAAATTTATTGCTGCTATTAACGATATTGAAATCAAAAAGGTTACGACCCATGGAGCATTACAAGAAGCTCAAATTTAAAATAACAAATAAGCTCTTGGTATACACGATCGATGAAGATAGAAACAAGAACTGAAGGAAACAAAATATACAAATCCAAGTCTTTTGTTTGTCTGTCGGGCTGACTGTCTGTCAATCTGTCTATTTGGTCTACCTACACGGACGCCGCAATATGTGACTGTGGGAGGGGGGAGGTTTGAGGAAAAAACAAAAAGAGAGAGAGGTATTTGATTATATACCAATAAGAAAACGTTATGATAACAATCGAGAGCCAATCAAAATTAAACAACCTGACTATGACAAGGTAGTCAGAACAAAAACTGCCTCGTTCTATTGTTAAGCTTTTAAAGCGTTACGGATAAGGTAGCCAGTCTCATTGATCATCACTACTTTTTGTATTAAAAGCTACGACTACTACTACTCTTATGTGATGTTGAAAAAGTGACATTGTTGTCTGCACCTTTTTGTCTTTATAAAATTAATAGGAGTAACATGTAAGTAAGAATGCGATACATTTTCATTGTCTTGATAATCCTATGCTTACACTTATTGTTTCGATGTAGTGCGTGTTACATACAGTCGATATTGGGAGTCATGATTCGTAACATTCTCAATCCGGGATAGCCCTTCAACGTTGTTACGACAGACGTGACGGCAGTGAGAAAGGGAGCTTATATTCACACAGTAGAAGCCGGATCTGTCGTTTCGTTCTCAAGTCCAGTAAATGGTTGAACGATCGAATCTGCCGCGAGTACCTGTCACTGTTCGACAACTAGACACGTAGACATAATTAGGAATTCAACCGTCGGTGTCACAGTCGTCTAATCGAAATCATTTGTCCCAAAGTATCACGTTGTGCTGGCTAAATTGGCATGACGTAACAATGCGTTGCGTCAAAGCTTTTAATCGAATCAAGCAAGACCCGTTTGCTTATCTCATCTCGTGATAGCAGAGTCACTTTAATCACGAAACCAATTGCATTTTTAGGGTCACTATTCAATTGTAAAATTCCTACAACTCCAGCATGACGCACGTACATGCCAACTCAGCGTCAACTGTAACAACAGTCACTGTGGCGGATCACTTAGTGGACCAAAAATCGGCACCTTCTGTAGCATCCGAATTCCACATAAACAAGTTGGCGCCCCATTTCACACCTTCGTGAGGTGGGCAACCGCCGTGACGACTCATGACGTCGTCAATACCATTAGCTGTTTGGACGTAAAAGAGGGAAGCGTGCAGACTACGAGGAGGCAAAGCCAGACCGAGAGAGCACTCGTCCATTCCATCGCGCACGATTTGTTCATCCAAATACCGATCTGTTGACAAGGGAAAGACCGTCTCACCACCCATTTTGGTCTGGTTGTTTAGGTAAAGAAACAACGTCACATATCGCTGCGGATGGAAATGGTGGACATACTTGGGCATCTTGTAGCGCAGCTTGGGGACGTTACCAAGACGTGTCTCCCAAGTGCGGATCGTCAGCTCAGCAAACTGCGGCCAAACCTGCATCACTTTGAAAAGGACAAAGTTGTGTTTACGGTTACCCATCATCCAATCGTACCATTCCGAATTGGTCATTCGTATGAGAAATCCCGGAGTGTAGTCATCAAGGATAAAATCTAGCAGCATCCCTTGGAACTTGACTGTGAACCGGGGATACAAGGACCCACCAGGACGAGCGTCAAGCGGCACCATATCACCTAGGAAAGCCACGCGCTCCTTGGCCCATCGAATCCAGTCGAAGAAGAATGTAACGGAGTTCGTATCGTGCTTGGGAAATGTGTAGTGAAGTCCAGGGACACCCAGCTTCTCCTCCCAAGACTTGACAATGAGGGGAAAGTACGATGGTCGCCACTCCTTATCCATCAGACTATTTACCATATTGCTGGTATTTTTGTCCAAGTTTGTACGGATCCATTCATCGTAACCCGAATCATACAGCGCCTTGAATCTGTTGGTCGTGTTCATGTAGTTATAAAACACCTCAAGAAGTGCATTCGGAAAAACAATAGGATCATCACCATTCGGGAACAACGGGCCGCCCTCCCGGAACGTTTCAGGCACCTTGCTCTGGTCCAGACCGCGAATTTTTTCTGCAGCCCACTTGGTCCACACCACGTAATCCTCAAACTCAAACGAGTGTGCGCCCTTAGGCAAGATATCGCGTGAGTGGAAGGTGTCTAAGTGCTGTCGGTAGAACTCACCAGCAGCATAGCGCACCAATTGCATTCTCGCAACATAAGAAGGACTTGGGAGTCGAGCGACACGAGCCGACCGCTTTTGAAAGTCACGCGTAAATAGGCTCTCGGGCAAAAATGCCGTATGGCTTGTACGTACATTTGACACGACCGACGATGAATTTGTGCCAGCTACTCTTGATCGATTTAGATGTGGCAATCCAATTTCAATGGCCTTATCAGCCTCTTCCTGAGTGAGAAAAAACTCCACATCAAATACCTTGGGACTAATACCCACAGTCGTTAACGTCACACCGTCCTCCAAAACGTACTTATATCCCTTCTTAACGCCTGGCCACTGCCACAACTGGAAATCCAGCAACACGTGAACTATGTTTTTCGTGTCACTCAACTCCTCCTTATTGCGAACTGGCCAACCCATTTGACTATAGAGACGTACACCACTCTCCATCTGATCTAGGTCCGCACCAAGCCAAGCCGCTCCTACCTCCGCCGCCTGACCCAGACAGTCAAATTGACCGTTCCAGGACACGTAGACGCCATCGTTGGCACCGTTGAGCATGAAGAAGACTTTGTCATCTGACATGGAATGCTCTGCCTCCATTGGCTCCGTCACAGGGAACACTTTGCCGTCAAACAACGTTGAAGCCGAGTAGTCGGAGTCATTACATGTCAACTCGCTCACAAGGTGACGCACCTGCATTGTCATCACGTCTGACTCGTACGGCGGGAGATTTTCTACACTGGACTCGATTGATCCCGGCTTGTCGTTAGAGCTGGACACGAGATCTACCAGACTCTGCAGACGGCCCGTGTTCAGGGGTATATCCATGTACATTGCGCAACTCACAGAAAACACCATCACTGCGGCCGACAGGCTCAGCAGATACAAGCTAGAAAGCTTCTTAGCTGCAGGTTTCTGGGGACAGACAGGCTTGTCATCGCTTCTTTCGGGTTTGTTCTCAGACATCAAGGCGTTTTTTTGATGCTAGCAAATGAATCACTGGATTGTTGTAGTCGCTCTTGCCGGGATATTAATAATTGTCAAGTGTGTTGGTTTCTGACTGACGTACGCGTGTAACGTGTCGTAAGAGTGATGTGATTGGCCGTAAGAACTTAATGGATTGTCAGTGGAAAGGTGTGACATCAAAGCACCAGTCCTTACAATTGTACAGTCAACACCTATCGAATACGTGAATGCGAATCAAATGATAGTGAAAGACTACATACAACAAACGTAGTGTTACCATACAAATCGTCTGTCTGCTCAAATTCAACGCTCAATCTGCTTAAGCAAACCCTGACGAGCATACTGTTTTCTCTCAGCCTCTTTGTTTGAGTGTAAATGTGAACCTGATACTAACTATTTATAATAGGCAGTCCTGTTCACTATCATAGTCTTCAAGAGTCGCGCTTTGTACCCACATCGCGGTCGCCGATGACGTACTAACGACAAACAGTCGCCCGTGGCTTATAGCCCACTGTCCAGTGGACCACTTTTCACCACCTTACAACATTCCTTCTCGAATCAACGATCATCTTGTCCGAAGGTACGTAGTTTGGTATGATAATACCACATCTCGCTTGGTCACATACGAATTTCACCCTTATGTCGATGTGTTTCGCTCTAGCAGACGATGGCTCGCCCTCCAGATGGTTGAGATGGCAGGCTGATTTTTAATCAATATTAGCATAGGGGTCACAATAACCATGGTCAGTTCCTGCAGCAATTCGAGGACTCCAAGCAGATTACGTGCCGCGTCTGAGGCAGCGACGAATTCAGCTTCCATCGCAAACAACGAAATGCCATTCTGTTTCTTGCAAGTCCAGCTGACAAGCATGCCATTCAACATCGTGATTTACCCATTACCCCAGTCAATGAGTTGCGATCTGACTTGTCAAATGCGAAGCCAGCATCGCTGACGAGTGCAAGTCTCAACGGATTTTATCCAGCAGGTTCATCAGTGGACATGTTCATCATATGCGTTTGGCATCCCTTCAGGTAAAGTATTATGCGCTTCGCGAAATTTCAATCGCGAAAATTAGGCTGATGTGTACGTCTTGTTGCCTTGAGAAGAGAGAAAGCTATGTTGGGAAGTGCAACGGGCCACCGAAAGCAGGCAGCCTATAAGGAATTGATAAAATTTTCAGCTGGCTGATCGTCACTCGCGTACACCAGTAGCTCTTTGTTACCAAGCGACACTTCGTAGCAGTCGTCACCAATTGGCGAGCGCACAATTTTAGCTAAATTCATCTTAGCACTGCGAAAAAATTTGCTATGAAGTGGGTTCTCAAAACAGTGTGATGAGACCCCAAACCACTCACTGTGCCGGACTGCCGACTGTCGGAGGATTTACCCCGGTGCCGCGTATAGACCTTCTCTAACCTTGTGTACTCGTCGGCTGGACGGGTTGCACTTTTCAGAAGATTTGGTGAAGATGGAGATGACGTCCTTGAAAGAAACCAACCTTAGGGTGCCTCAAGTGGATATGCTTCACTCGGTAGGCTAATAGGTGGCCACTCGGTCGACTAGGTGGAAGGTAAACTTGTAACCAAATTCTTCAGGGAATATTC